GTAGTAGCCAGATGGCATTGGCTGGTAGACGGAACCCGGAGGAGGCCAACCCTGTGCGATCTAACGGGTCTGTGGGAGGTAATTGGCAGAAGGCGATCTCTGTGTAGGAAGAAAAGTGAATATTTTTGCGCTCAGACATCTTGATGGTACCTGATTTTCCCATCTGATGATACCCAAGACAGCCTGATTAAAGAAACAGCCTTCATTTCGAAAATGCCACCAAAAATTCTATTTGGTCATTTAATTATTCAATTAAATTTAAATGGTTAAAATATTTTTCCCTCTGGGTTCCATTATTTTTCAGCCTGGAACTTCAAGCTCCCAGAAAAGCATCTGTGTTTGTGTATAAATAGAAAATGAAATGGGAGGTTATGCTTCCAATTTTTTTTACATGACATAAGTGAATGGTGACACTTTAGACATCTTATCTTGGCTTGTCTGGGTCTGCCTCGTGCTCATAGCTGCGGCTCGACACTTTCAGTATAGATGATACAGTCAAGTCTTTCTTTGAAACGTTGATCTTTGAAACTTTAACTGGGCATCAAATCTAGTTATTTTAATTTGAGAATATGCGCTCCGTTGAAAACATATAAATACTTCTTGCAACAGTTACATGCATAAATATGTTTAAAACATACCTGCTCTGTTGAGGTCAATGAGTGTTTGGCTTCTAAAATCATCATGAAGACTCTTTCCACTGTCTTGTTCCAACTGTATTTGCTTGATCCTCACAGTCTTGCTTACAATTTCTTTCGGGTTTTTATCGGCTGGCATAAAGTATTGTAAGCAACCATTCACCGCAATGGGAACCCTGTGCTGAGTGATCTGATAACCAGCCTGCATTTAGAATGTTAACAGATAGCTCATTTCAAATGAAAGCTGATCATCTTTGCCTTTTAACACACGGACCCCTCCTTCTTGTTAACTATTGACACCAAAAGATATATCGTATTTTTCAGAGTATAAGACGCACCTTTCTCTCTCAAAAAAGAGAGTGAAAATCTGGGTGCGTCATACACTGAATACAGCATTTTGGGCCTCCCGAAACCCCACCCCCTTCACCAAAATGGCCGTGCATAGCCTTTAGTGCATAGCCTGAAGGCTGGGGAAGGCAGAAATGAACGAAAAATAGGCCGGTTTTTGTTCGTTTTTGCCTTCCCCTCAGCAGCACTCTATAAGCCTCCTAAAGGCTATGCATGCCCTTTTTTTGACAAAAGGCAGGCCCATTTTTGCGAAGAATGGGCCGTTTCTGGGAGGTCTGCAGAGTGCAAAAACCTTTTTTTTAAAAAATTTGCCTCTTCAAAATCTTGGTGCATCTTATACTCCGGTGCATCTTATACTCTGAAAAATATGGTATATATGGTAGGCTGCATGTACTCTTTCCGTTCTGACCACCCATTCTCTCAAGGTAGTTCTGACTGAAAAAAATATTTCTGTGCCAACTCAGAAAGCTCAAACTGCCCAAAGAGCTGCTGATTCAGTTCTACAGAGGAATTATTGAGTCTGTCATCTGTACTTCTATAACTGTCTGGTTTGGCTCTGCAACCAAGTAAGACAGACAGACTTCAACGTATAATTAGAACTGCAGAAAAAACAACTGCTACCAACCTGCCTTCCATTGAGGAGCTGTATACTACACATGTCAAAAAGAGGGCTGTGAAAATATCTACAGACCCCTCCTATCCTGGACATAAATTGTTTCAACTTCTACCCTCAAAATGACACCATAGGGCACTCCACACACCAGAACAACTAGACACAAGGATAGCTTTTTCCCAAAAGTCAACATTCTGCTAAACAACTAATTCCCACAACACTGACAAATTATTTACTAAGACTGTATTACTATTATTCTTCTCTTCCTTCCTATCACCTATGTCTTCCCACTTATGACTATAACCATGTTGCTTGTATCTTTACAATTTATATTACTTTATTTGTTTCCTAGTACAATTTGATTGCTTATTAGTAACTTATGACTATCACTCAGTGTTGTATCTTTTGATTCTTGATGAATGTATTTTATTTTTCTTTATGTGCACTGAGAGCATATGCACCAAAAACAAATTCCTTGTGTGTCCAGCCACATTTGGCCAATAAAGAATTCTATTATATTCTATTAAAAAAATAAAAACACAAATAAAAGTGAAAGTGAATAACCAAATTTCATTTTTTATTAATGCTCAACATTCACATTTAGCCTTCCAATGTAATTTATCATACACAAATGTTATGTTAAATGCCTTCAGATTATCAAAAAAAACTACATGGAAAGAATTAATTGGAGGGAGAGGGAGACTTGTATGACAGATCTAATTGGCAAAAAAAAAAAAAAAAAAAAAAGCTAAGCTCCCCCTTCCTACTTGGCTAGTTTGCTGCATGAACTAGACTGAATACCCCCTAAAGTGTGATAGGCATTGCCTCATTTTACTGGGGGTTTTCACCACTGGCATCAATTGATTTGCTTTAGATATCTGAACAAATTTAAAACAAAACACAGAATACAATAAAATAGATTTTTTTATTGGCCAAGTGTGATTGGACACACAAGGAATTTGCATATGCTCTCAGTGTACATAAATAAAAAATAAAATATGTTCATCAAGAATCATAAGATACAACACTTAGTGATGTGTTTGAGATTCTCAGACGTAATGACAATAAGTGCTTGTGAAGTCACTGGAGCACCAATATGCGTCTGTAATACATTCATTTAAAAAGATTCATACCGTTTGTCTTAATCCTAGCAGGCCATTAATGAGAATAAAGGAAGGCTTGTCCTAACAGTACCTTCCCCAGTTCAATTACTCCCAAAGCCCTGAAAACATGAGGCACAGCCATCAGAACAATCATCGTCAATCTGCAAGCTCCTGGCTACAGCTGCCCATTCATCTGAATTCAGGGCTGCATCCAGCTTGGACGAGTAAACAGTGGCTGGAAAAAAACAAAGCTTCTCTTTTGTTGGCTCCCCCCCCCCAATCTGTTCTTCAGGCATGTTCCTCTTCCGATTTGTCAAGGACAAAGCCTGATATATACTCACAGGCAGATCTGCATAGAAATAGTGTTTCCTGTCAAACAAGGACTTCTTGTTTATGGTGCAGTTCAGTGCAAGGCCTGTTGACACTGCTGCTTCCACGCATCGTCTGTTGAGAACCTAGAGAGACACAACACACAACTTGAATTCATACTCTTTTAAACAGTGTGTGATTCCTTTTTGATTGCTTTAAAAAACCCATGTTTCCTTGCAAATGGGAAGTACAAGGGGTAATATTTTTCCATTTTATGGTGCAGAGCTAGAGGTGGTATTCAGCAGGTTCTGACCAGTTCTAGAGAATCGGTAGTGGAAATTTTGAGTAATTCGGAGAACTGGTAAATACCATGTCAGACTGGCACCGCCCCCATCTATTCTCTGCCTCCTGATTCCCAGCTGATTGGGAGGGAATGGGGATTTTGCAGTAACCTTCACCTGTCACGCCCACCAAGCCATGCCTACAGAACTGGTAGTAAAAAAAATTAATCCCACCACTCTGCAGAGCATGATTGTTTTTAATATTGCACACTGTATGTTTAAGTTTTGTGCTTTTGTTTTAGTGCTCTTAAGTACATTCATTGAAAGATGACACAGAGCTGAGTTTTAACCTCTAATAAAACACTGGCCTAAATTAACATGGATACATGGATTTAAATGTTTTGCTATGTAACAATTCTAATATGTTCTAAACCAATGGTTCTCAACTTTTTCTTCATCATGGACCCCCTTTTCTGACCATGGACCCCCCAAGACTTAAGTCAAGATTTAAATTGTAATATTTCTTCAAGCCTTTGCTGAACCCTTGCGATGATATCACAGCGCCCTAGGGGTCCATGGACCACAGGTTGACAACCACTGCTCTAGACAATTGAAATGGTTATCAGGAAATAGCTAGGTAGAGAAAGAGCTATTAACTTATTTGCTTGCTTGCTTGTTTGTTTATTACATTTATTTGCTACCCATCTTGCTGTGGGACTACTCTAGATGACTTACAACAATAAAAACAGAGAAATGAAAAGAAATGTAAACATTAGCAGTAGCAAAATAATGAAACAATAAAATAATGGTAATGCAGTAATTTGAGATGATTACTGAAGCAGGGAATCCATGTGTGTGTGCGTTTGCTATCTATCTAGTAGCCACCTTCACTGGGTCTGTGGGCCAAGTTATACCTTGATTAATACAAACATTTCACTACTAAAAGTTATCTGGCAAAGTATTCCACTGCATTCAAAAAATATTTTTCAGCCTTACCTAGTATAGTAAATAATACAAAACAGTTTGGACATATCTACCAATCACTGGTGAGAAAGCAACCCCTCATCCCTTCAGCCAGAATACAGAAGATCTAATTGCACTTACGATCTATGAACAAATTGCCTATAGACATAGACTACATATAGGTAAATATAATGAAATATGAGATTCATGCAAACTACTCTAAGGTTAAAAATATAATAGTTATATAAATGTATTAGAAATATACATGTTATAATAATATAACATTATAATTATATATTATATAATAGTTATACAAATATATTAGAAATATACATTAATTTAAGTAAAGGTTTCATTAGATAACTATATATAATTATATAATTATCTGTGAATTGCAATTATTACATATATATATATATATATATATATATATATATATATATATATAAAAACTATTAGTATAATAATGGTATTATATTACAAATAGTATTATAATATACTTTTTCTTTCATTTTTTAAAAATAAAAAGCACTATGCTTTCTTTGACATGTATGCTTTCTAAAAATACATGTATTTTTATCTGTGTAGTCCCCCCCTAATTCTCTGTCATTATTTTAAAAGCAATAAAAGAATAAATAAAAAGAAAGAGACCTCCCCCCCCGCCCCGTATAGACAAAAAGCTATAGATGAAATTGTAAATCACCAGATCCATTGTTTTTCTCACAAGTTAACAAGCAAATTAGGAGGATTTATCATTTTAAAAGCCAGTTTGGGTCAAAATAATCCACTACTTAGCAATTGTTAAAAAAAAAAATCCTCTTAAAATGCACCGAAGCCAGGTTATCTGCCTACAGCCAGTATATGCAGATAGGAATCTGGTTTTCTCATTTTGTTGAAGGAAATTTTCAGAGACATAGCAAACACTATACTTCTCAGACTGTCAAGGTACATGGTATATACAAGCTAAACCCATAGCTGAAACTAACTGCTATATTCACAAAATATGAATATATTTTGTTATAAGCTCAATATGAAACACCCTGTCTACAACATTCAAAAGTAGTTTTTTAAAATAATAATAATAATAAAATTCAAAATAACTGAGCTGAGGGCTTAAATATTGTGGCTATAAGATACACAAGAAAACAGAATTATTATTATTATTATTATTATTATTATTATTATTATTATTATTATTATACAATTGTATCACAGCGGCCAGTTGTTTCGCCGGATTTGGCATTGGTTACTAGTTGGGCCCCACCCAGGGGCCTA